ACTTTGCAATCGAGCCGCTGCCGCCGCATCATGCCTCTGCGCGTTGGCGTACTCGTCGCGGTTTGCCGCTGGGCTGCCGTAGTTGCACAAGGTACCTGTAGCGCTGCCGCGAGAACGCATCGCGTGCGTCACCGCTGCACTCACTTCCACGTGCGTCGCCATGAAGGAGACGGCCGGGAGCCGCTCGACGGCGTCACGTGCAGCCACGACCGTGAGCATGCCCCGACGAGTGGGCCCGAGTCGACCCCACACTGTCTCGGCGTGCGTGCTCGCCCTAAGCTCCCCACGCCGCCGGCACCGCTGCCGTAACTGCCTGGTGGCCGCCGCGCGTGAATTTTGGGAGGGGAGGAGCAAAATGAGTTAGTTTTTGGGATGATTCTGATTTTGTTCTTCACTCAGTGAACCGCAACTGTCCGATCATCATCAATGGCTGAGATTGCTTGGGCCATTAATTGGGCCTGCGGGAGCGCGCGCACTGTGTCAAATCGCAGCCTAGGCCTAGAACTTTGAGCTGGTGGCCCGTGTGGATGAGGGCGAGCCCCCTGGTGAGCTGGGCCGAATGCGGTCCGTTTTGGGTCGCCCTTGCATTTAATGTTTTGATGATTTTTTCTTCTGGGCCACTAATGTTTATGGGCCGAATTCATCATGTTTATGGGCTTTAATATTTTTAGTGCATTGTGAATTTCGTTAATTTTTTACTGCAGCACTATTTTATGATTATTTATGCCCATAATGATGTTATTTTCCGCTGTGAATTATGTTTAAGCTCTCTGATCAAAATGGAACCAATGGGAAATTTTAATTGGAGAATTTAATTTAAGTGTGGCCTATGTATATATGTTCTGACCAACGTTGATTTTATATGCATATGTCACAAAGTTTATGATTATGATTATGGGTTCTTTTTCGTTTCTGCCCAACGGTGATACGAATTAGAGCTGTCATTCATGTTTTTAATCTGACCAACGTAGGGTTATTTACATGCATGGCATTATTTAATTGTCACTAATGCTGTGTTGGCTTATTTTTTCAGCTAATGCTTCGCCTCTCACCCATCAGCTCACCAACTTCACTCCTCTCAATGGCACTAACTTCAAGTCATGGAAAGAGGAGCTTGAGATTTGGCTTGGGGTGAATGACTTGGACCTGGCATTACGTGAGGATAAGCCAGTTGCTCCTACAGCTGAGGGTGATAATGATGCCACCCTAGCTGCTAGGACAACCAAGTATGAGGAAAAACTAGAGAAGTGGGAATGCTCCAACAGGTTGGCTGTAAAGGTCATGAAGAACAACATTACTCCTGGAATCAGGGGAGCTATTCCCACCTCAGATAATGCTAAGAAGTACCTAGCAAACATTGAAGAGCAGTTCCAAAGCTCTTCTAAGGCTAAGGCTAGTACTTTGATTATGAAAATGGTTTCAACTAAGTACTCAGGGTCCACCGGCATTAGAGAACATATCATGTTGATGGTTGATATGGCCGGAAAACTTAAGACCATGGATATGACCATCTCTGATAATTTCTTAGTGCATTTTATCATGACTTCACTTTCAAGTCCCAAATTTGAGGTGTTTAAGGTCAACTACAACCTCCTAATGGAAAAGTGGAATGTGAGTGAACTCATTGCTAAGTGTGTACAGGAAGAAGAGAGGCAGAAGGCTGATAACAGGGATCGAGTCAACCTTGTTGGCCAAGGCAAAAGAAGGAACCATGGGGATCCTAAGTCTAAAAAGAAGTTGAACTTCCTCAAGGCAAAGAAGCATGACTTCAAAAAGCCTAATACCGCCAATGATGAGGGAAGTACCAACACTGAGGCAAGTACCAAGGGGCCTAAGTGTCGCTTCTGGAAGGACTTTGGGCACATCCAAAAGGACCATGATGGGTTCAAGAACTGGCTTGCTAAGAAAGGTACTCATGATGTAGTTACTTTTGTTGATGAATCCCTTTATGCTAATGTTTCCCCTAATGCATGGTGTATTGATTCTGGTGCCACCGTGCACATTACTAATTCATCATAGGGATTCCTTACCGTCCGGAGGCTGGCAAAGGGGGAGCGCAAGCTTAGAGTTACTGACGGACATGAGACTGATGCTGAGGCCATCGGCACTCTCCCATTGCTCTTAAGTAGTGGCTTCACTCTTAAGTTGAATAATGTGCTACTTGTTCCTATCATGAGAAGAAACCTTATTTCTGTTTCTGTGTTGGATGATGATGGTATTCATTGTAACTTTGGGAACAACGAATGTTTGCTTAAGTTTGATGATGAGATTGTTGGTCTTGCCCCCAGGCATGACAATCTTTATTTATTGCCTCTAAATGATTCCTCTGTGATGAATGTGTGTGATGTCACTAATAAGCGAAAGAGAAGCATCACCAATGAGACCTCGTCGAAATTGTGGCGCTGTCGATAGTTCTGGGCCAGAATACAGGCGGTGAGGTATCCCGTTATCATATCTTCGACAGTATGGTAGACCTGAACTCTACTAATTGCTAACCTCTACTTTGGAATGAATCTCTTGTTCGGGTTTAAAGTAATTTGAATGCAAACGTAGGGTCTATTTTGGTTATCTTTCATAATGACAAATGTGTCAATCAAGTATATTATTTTAAATTGTCTTTCAAAAAGATAGATATGTGGATAATTTAGATAAGTTAGAGGTTATTTTTAATTATCTTTCATAATGGAAAAGGTGTGTAAATTAGGTGGTTATTTTGAATTGATTTTGAATTATCTTTTATAATGACATAGATGGGTAATTTAGACGTAAAATTAGAGCAGTTACTTTATGTATTTTTTACAATGATAGAGGTAGATAAATTTTTAATAAAACAGAATAGATTCAATGGCTATTATCGATGAGGATGATTAGAGACTACCAAATTAAGGCAAGATGTTTCTAATTATTGTGGGCCAGAATTTATTTATTTTTTTCTAACACACGATGAACATTACTGTGGAGGCTCTAGTTGTTTCTGATTATTGAGAAACTTTTTAGGAATTGTCTTTTTTTAGCGTATCTGGTAAGAATTAACGTGGAAGCTCTGTTAGAGCCTCTAATGAGTTATGGTGAGATAAAATTCTAGGATTCATTTTTTTTTCTAGCACGTCTAGTAAGAATTAATGTAAAATCTCTATTGGAGTAGCAGTAGTAAGATAAGATATGATTGTGAGAATTTTTATAATTTCTCTTTTTTTTTCTAGCACGTCACGAGGATTCTGGGTTCGTTTTGGTTGTGAAATTTTTGTAAGTCCGCACGAAGTTCGTGCATTCCCAAACGGAAACTCTGAAACAGATACTCCTTCAAGTTTGGTCTCAGTTGATTGAACCCCATCACACAAGATTGTCCTCTGAAATCCAACTCAAGCAGTCAATTCAGCTACCTAACCTAACCAAGGCCCAGATATACATGGTCAAACGGGCCGCCTAGGCACGGCATGGCACTGGCACGATGTGGTATGGCACGTCGTGGCACGACACTATCAGGCACGGCGGCACTGCCGTGCCGCCAGGCACGCGGGCCGCCGTGCCGCCAGGCTCCGATGCCGTGGCGGACGCGACCCCAGCCACACGCCGCCGCCGCGAATGCGTCGCCACCGCCGTGCGCCGCTGCAAGGACATGCTCTAGCTGCGCTGACGCGCCTGCACTGCCGCCGCGGGGACGTGCCGTCGGCTGCGAGGAGGTGCTCCTGGCTGCGCGCTAGCACCGGCGCGAGGACGCGACGCCGCCGCCGGGACGCAACCCTGGTTGCTCCTCGCCGCCGCCACGAAGACCCTGGCTTCTTTTTAGTTACTCGAAGGTAGCTCTAGAAGCTTTTCATACTGCGGTGGTGAAGGTAGCTCTAAAAGCTTTCAAAAAATTGATTTAGCTTTTAGGAAAATAGAAAATAAACAGAAAATCTGTAGAATTCCCAAAATATTTTAATTGATGTCTAAACACGTTTTCAAAACTTTCTATAGAAACAACATGAGGGCAATATCACCAGCATGAATGCATTTAGCATTATATTTATGTTGCATTCTTGTTGTCTGCTTCTCATATTTTTGTTATAGCAAGTTCTTTAAACACATTTGGACATCAATTAGGATGTTTTGGAAAATTTTCAGATTTATTTGGATATTTTTTTTCTTTTTCTTGAGCTATAGATAATTTTTTGGAAGCTACTAAAGTTATTCTCATTAGGATTTCATGTAGCAATCTTACTTTAGGATTTCCCTCAAAATTGTTAGAAGCTTAGAGTTATTTTTCATTGTTAAAAACCTTATCATATTTTTGGAACCAAAAAAGGACCAAACTATCCTCCTGAGAAGCACTTCTAACGGAGCAGGGAAGAAATTGAAATAATTTTTAAGAGTTTAGGGGGTAAAATGTCCATTTGTGAAGTTCGAAAAAGAAATTAGACTATGGCAGTAGTTCAAGGAATTCAAAGGGATTGTTTTTCCAAATTTACGAGGTTGTTCTCTATTGTCCCATTAGGACTATAGGAGAGGCCCGAGACAATATTTGCTTGGTCGGGCAACGGAAGCGGTGGCAATTGGCCCATAGGAAACGGATAAAGATAGGCATGAGACATCACTGTCATGGGCATGGTGGCCTCGTGACTTAGTTGGGCAGAAAATGCACAGGACAACATACTCATCAAACGTTATTCTACCATGCAAGTCATCTTACCAAACCTTACACATACATGGATCATCACACAGTACGTGGAGACACTAAACAATTTGTATATGCAAGTGAATCTTAAGAGTCTTTATTACAATATTATTACAAGCAGGACACCAAACAGACTAGTAACAATTGATACTCAACACAAGAGTACCATGATATACACAGATCACATCAGCAGCGGTCGACAACATCATTCAGAAAAGTGGCAACTCAAATGCACTTAGCATACAGAAACACGTTCACACAGCACACACCACAATCTGAAGAATCCAAAACAAGAAGAAAACTGAACAGTTAAAGCATGCATGAGTAATAATAGAAGACTCCATTAAACCACACCAGCACCAGAAGTAGCAGAAGCAGCACCGTCGTCCTCGCCTGGCCGGCTGATGATCCCGGCATGGAAGAGCAGCACCCCGAGCAGCGTGATCAGCTCGCCGCCCCTGGCGATGACCGCCTTGTGCCCTTTGAGGTTGTCGGACGGCGCGACAAACAGGATCATCTCCGACCAGAATTCAGCCAACAACTTCCACACCGTGTCATCACCACCTTCTAGCACCAGCTTCACCAATTGCTCTCCCAGCTTCGCGCCATCCTTGACTACTTGATGCTTCGCTTTTGCACTCAGCGATTCGACCAGCTGTTGGCATTTGGCTTCCGGCGTCAATGAGTCTCCTGCTGTGCAGCCGGCAAGGACACGCCGAGCATCCTTCTTGACATCCTCATACAGGCTCCTGCTCCATTCATGGTCGTCAGGAAGCAGCTCAGGGCACCATGTCACGAGGTACGCACAGTACCGTGATAGGTAGGTGGCAACCATCTTATAGTCAGTGTTGGAAAGTGGCGGAAAACCTTGTTCTTCATCATGCAGGTGTGGGTACCTGACCTCGAGGATGCTTGTGGCTATGTGCCATGTAAGTATGGTATGAGATGTACTCTTGTTGCTGCAAGCCCAGAGGAAACTTTCACCGACCAGGCCTCGGCCGCGGAGACATGCCGCACCATTGCTCAGCTGCACTCCATTTCCAGTTCTTCTTAGCACTTGGATGATGCAAAGCTTCACCGCTGCTGGCACCCTGACCTTACTCTTCTGATCTGGTAATAGAGGGAAAAGATGCCACAGAACACCAAGCGGGGTTGTTCTTGTTTGAAGCACCAAGACTGAGCACTGGCCAATTTTCTCATCCCAATGCGTCCTCAATTACTTGCATCTGCAGCGGAGCAAAACGCCAGCACATTTCTGGATGCAAAGAGAATGCTTGGAGGAGGAGGAGGAGGAACGGTTTAGGAGGCGACACACAAGAGCTACTTTGGTCCACTCGGAGCAGATGTAGGAAGCCATATCCCTCACCTCAGCAATGAAAACTAACACCAAAAGCAACCATAGTGGCACAATACTAAATAACCAGTTTCCATACTCTCTTGTGTTGAGTTGTTTGAATATGTCGCATGAAAGCTGGTGGTCTTCATAACTACCAGCATCAGCAACTATGCTGATCAAGAGCATTGCAGCAAAGATGCAATAAGCTATGCTCAAGAGTGAGATAAAGATACCCACGATGGGCAACCAGCACTTGGAATAGGAGATCGGAATGGATGAGTAATAATAGTCATGAACAAAAAGAAATCTCATCCGAAATCACCTGAAACACCCTGTTGTGGTCTCCCTCCTTGAGCAGCAAGCTCCAGAAAAAAGTGAACATGTCACTCGAGGCATTGGCAGTGTTGACATTGTACCTTGCAAACCGACACCGCAACAACTTGAAGAATGCACAGGACTAACATAAGTCTTGTAGTCGTTGCAGTGTTGAGAATGGAAAGAAGCAGGCTGTCATCTTCCAAACACTTCAATGGTTACCAGGCCATCTTTTCCGTGCACAGCCATGCCTGAGTCACCCTTCCATACATACCCATGAGACTGCTTCTCCATGTGTCTTTTCCGCTCTCCCATAACCAGTAGTGGAGGTGGAGGAGGAGCATCCTCATCAGTTACTACTGCTGCTTCTCTACGGTGACTTGTCCCTGCTTGTACCGGTGGTGGTTGCTGCATGTAGGCAAAAATAAGATGAGGATTTTTTCCGAGAGCAAAGGATCGCCGTGCCTTTTCAAATGCATAATATCTGAAGACCATTTTGGCACATGTGAGAGCAAAAGGTATCACCTCACATCCAATTACAATCAGAGCAATTTCGAGATCTTCTCTGTCACTAAAGAGATTGGTCAGGTAGGTGATACCAAGGTAAAAGGTCCAGGACCCCTGAACAAGCAGCTCAAAAGGAGGACCTATGTTTCTACCTTCTCTGTCATCAACAGCGACTATTGCACTGGTATTGATCATAATTATCTGAACAAGTGATGCCCAGATTACCACCATGATAGATTGTATTCCTGGATCGCACTTTGCAGCCAACCCAGGCTGAGGCTGACATAGTCGTTTGACCCAGCGACCAAGGGGACAACGGTGGACATGACAGGCAAGTACAAGGTGGTGGCTCCAAGAAAGATGAACCTGGTGAGGCGGCGGTAGAGGTAACGCTGGCCAAAGACGCCAATCCCGACTATGACTCCGGCAAGGATGGCGCCGGCGAGCAACAGAGCATCCACAAGCCACAACCTGTCTCTCATGCTCTTGTCCAACAAGAACACGGCCTGGTCTCCAGTTGAATTTCGTCCAGCCATGATGGGCCTGCTCATTGCAAAATACCAAGGTTATATAAACAAGGAGTGTTTTGTATCATGGTCAAATGGAGGCACATACATTATATAAATATTAAACAAGCATGTGTGCATATATAAACCCAACAGTACTCAACATATACAAATATATATGGTACGACACACTGTATCTCTCTTCCAAATTGTTTTTAAAAAAAGGAGAAGAACATACTAAGCTCATGTAGTTTCTACTTTATCAATTGTATGTATAAGCAGCCAAGAAAAGATATGATGTGTTTGATAGTATTAGTTTACCGTAAGGTGGAGGTCGATCTATATAAGCAGCCAAGAAAAGATATGATGTGTTTGGAATTGGATGATCAAATATTGCTCTCAATCACGCAGTGTCTTCCTTATTCTTTTGTCCAGTACGTACGTTGGCTCTTCCTTAATCTGTTCCTCTGCATGCTTTTATATGTAAATAAATGTGCTGGCTTTGGCCAGTCTTTCCCTTTGGATGCACATGACAGGACCATACTAAAGACGACAAGAATATGTCCCTTGCTTCCCTGACTGCTCCCAGTCACTGAAACGCCATTTTAGCATTGGGTCCCCTCTTACGTGCCCTCTAAGGTTTGTTGATGTTGTCGCTATGCCGGCGAAACGAATAGCTGTTTTCGTTCTATATATTCCTTAGATAATAATTGGAAACTGGAATTAACAGTGCGCTGAAACAGATTATAGCTAGACAAAAACGACCATGACCATGTTCTAGGATATGCGTGTGTTCGGTTCAAAAATAAAAAAAAAAACAAATAAGAGATGGGAAAATTGGTTTTGTAACGAACATTTTGAAGGATTAGTGAAATTGTAAAATGGCACTGAAAGAACCCACCAACATAAAATACGAAAGAACGCGCCAAACTGAAAGGTCATAGCACCAACTAGAAGTACACCCTATTACATTCTCCATCATGCTCCGTTAACATGGACCAAAATACCCATCAAAAACCTACCAAACAAAGATTTCAGAATACAGCACAGCACATGGCCGATGACCAGTACTCTCCGCCATCCTCCCATTGTTCTTCTCCACTCCACCGACACCACTAGATAGCATGGTAATTGCCGCCACTGCCAGACAGCACGGCTTAGAGGGTCTCGGCTTAGAGCATGGTAATTGCCACCACTGCCATGGCCACTCCTAAGACTGCATGCGCAACCATAGCAGCTTGGCCTCATCTCCCCGCTTGTAGCCATAGTAGCTTTCAGCTGCTTAGAGGCTCGTGTCGTGTGTCGGCTATTGTAGTTCCGCCACTGCTGATTTGTACTTCTATTGCAGTTCCAGTTCCATCATTGTCCTACCAGTCTACATCTCGAGGGTCTCGTTCTCCTCCACCAGGCTCTGCAGCACATTCTCCTTGTCCATCAGGGACGCATTTAGCTTCGTGACATCCATGTTCGACTTCATCAACTTTGTCTCCCCCTCTAGCGAGATTGTATAAAATCTGACCTGTAAAAGTCATATATGTTGCACTTTGTCCATTGTATAGGCTCCTGCCATTGCTTCCATGACTTGTCCTTCAACTCTAGCTCAAATTCACACACTTTGCTGGCACAGTTGCCCTTCGCACTTTCTAGTGTCTCCTGGTGTTGCAAGTGTGCGGAGGGAGAGGTGGTGTGAACAAGGGGGTGGAGCGGAGACATGGCAATGGGGGAAGGTGGCGTGTTCGGCGGGGGAGGGTGCGTCAGGTGGGGTAGATAGTATGGTCAATTGGAGAGGGGGTCGCATGGCCGCCAACGAGAGAGGGGGCATAGGTCGCTGCTTGGATAGGTGGCGTGGATGGGAAGGGGGAGGTAATGGCTGCCAACGATAAAGAGGGTGTAGGCTGCCGGCGAGAGAGGGCGTGCCAGCCACCGTTGGGGTAGGCATCATAGTCGTGGTAGTGTGGCCACTGATAGGGGAGGCTGTCGGTTGCTTTCATAGGAGGCACCAGTGGCAATTTATAGGGCACTCAAAGAACCCGCAATCTGATTGGGTCTATGAAAAGCCAAATAATCATATATATTAGAGTGCACTATCAACATTTCATTCCCAATACTGAACAAATAAGAAATAAATCACGTTACTCGTGCTCTGCAGCATCTATGTTGTGACAACTAGGGTTGGATATCGAGCTAGCTCGGTTCGTTAACGTGTTGGCTCGGATTGGTTCATTATACAAACAAGCCAGCACACTAGCTCGGCTCGGCTCACTAGAGAGCTCGAGTTAGTTCATCTGGCTCATGAGCCAAAGCAGAAAAACACAGTACACAGAGATTATAATAGCAAGTGAGCAACAAACACCTCACATGCATACTTAAAATGAAATAAACAAAGTACATATGAATTTAACAATGGAGAATATAATCACTGCTACACTCGGACCTTTCACAGCCATGTCGTAACCCCATCGCAGCCGCATTTCGGCCTCGATGGTAAGCTCTCGACAGTGATGGTCATAGCCTTCACGTCGACATCTGGGATCGACTGCAGTGTACACTAACACCGCCATATTAGCTTATGATCCATCCGTGATTAGGCCCTTACTTCCGTCGCATTGTAGCACGACCCAGCTGTGGATGTACACTAACACCACCGCATTGGCAAATGATCCACCTGTGTCGAGGCTATCAAAACCATCATGTGGGACATCAACCACCTGTGTAGTGGTCACCAGCACCGTTGCCTTGTACTTCGACCTGACTTTCAGTGGTGCGGGTTCATTGTCGCTTCGACGGCCGAGATGCCTGTATAGAGGTTAACACCACCATTGCTTCAATGTATGATCCGCCAGTACAAAGGTCATGGTCACCGTCGCCTTGCACCATGATCCGCCTTTGATGATCGTTTAGTCGGTGTCGGGTTACTAAAGGATTCGGCGGTGATACACTTTTGATCACTGCCGCATCATACGTATAGTGATGGTGGTGATAACAAAACAATGAACGGCGCTTACATCCGACGGTGATAGAATTTCATCTGGTTTCACAATAGTTACTAATTCAGCTAAGCCCTAAATAACTTCATGAACACAAAGCATACAGATATATAATCATTACATCCATAAATCATGTTCACAAATAAGAGTACTTTTTACAATAACAATGGACGCTACCATAACATCTTTCTCAATTGATGTCCTAACACAAGCGGTACATAAAGCATACTAAAGGTACTGATCTATATAGACTTACATAACAAAACGATGTAGTTGTGCTCCTTCTATATGGCACTCCTGCTTGCAAGGTAAAATGAATATAATTAGTGCATTCTTCGGATTGGTAGCCAATGCACCATGGAACCCCCCTTATTCATCTATGATCCACAACCTGAACAAAGCAGTAGAATTAATAATAGTGAACATACCACTCCTTTAGTTAACAAGCCAAAATTGGTCTATACATACATAGAATGAAAACAACTCCCTACCTGAACAAAGACTATCGTGACAATGAAATGCAGGAAATGCACCTTTACTGCTCTGCTAATGACTCCATGGATAAGGGAACATAAGGAAGATAGTAAGGCATGTTCATATGGAAAAGCCCTCTTGATCTACAAAAGTGGATGACACGGGTATGGATGACATGTACCTTTCTGTGGTCCATGTTATATGCAATCAATGTTCTATCCTTCCCAACAAGGAAAATGAAATTCCATTCTGGATGAACTGTAATCACTCTGTACTCATCACAAAAGCTCAGAACCAACTTTAATATTCATATGTCCAAATAGTTCCTCCGTGTCCATAACATGCTTCAAACTCCAGTTATCAGTACCATAGTCTTCAAGTATTCACACTAAAAGCCAAGACCTATTGTGAAAATCAGCACAACACACACATAGGTGACCCTGAGCTTGATGGATGGATATTTCAGCACCACCTGGTTTACAAATTGTCCTCCATGTCTTTCCCTCCATATCCACAGCAACTATCACAGAGTACTCAAGCATGTGCATAAAACCATTAAGAAAAACAATTCTCAATTTTGAACGTAGAACAATACTACCATCGCCCCATTCAAATTCCTTAAAGATCCATGCTGCAATTTTAGATGAGTATATCTCCACACCTACGCATGCACCCTCCACCTCAACAAATTCAATCACATGGAAGTGCAAGGACGTTAGGTCAAAACCTAAGCGAGCCTAACCAACAGAAAGGATGCTACACGGCAGTACATGCCATTTGTGGGTCACCAGATTGCAGACAATATAGCGATGTAATCAATTAGGCCCAACACACCAGCAAAGGACGAGGCCGCTGCAACAATCTGAAACTAGGACTTTTTGAAGGGGAAGGGCAAGAAGGACAAGGAGGACCGTTCACCGATGATGCTGGTGAAGTGGCGATTGCCCTTCCACCAGCTATCATAGAAGAAGCCGACGACAGTCTGTGAAAGCTTCTTACGTTGATAGGAGTCAGAGATGATGCGCTTCTAGGAGCGATAGACACACTTGCAGCAGCACAAGGACCGGGCGGGGACGTAGTGGTAGATGTCGGCAAGCACATCGTCTGAGAGGTTGTCCACTATGTTCCTCATGTTGGGAGCCTCCTTCATCTGGGAGGACACCACCAGCCGAAGAGATGAGGCCGCCCTACCATGGAATTGCATCAATAAACATTAGTAAGGAGATGAGTTTCGAGGAGAAGGGATGACGATGCAAGTAAGGCCATATTACACTTGCCTTTGGATCTGGCGGCGGTGAGCACGAGTGGCACCGCCGGTGATAGCAGCAGCTCGCTCGCCGGTGGATCTATGCGGGGAATCCGGTGATGTGCACTGGCGTAGAGCAAGAGCTGAGCAGTGCTGATGGGCAGGAGCAACGATGACGAAAAACAGCAATGAGGAAAAGAAAAGCTATGTGTGTGGGGGAGGGAGGGTGGCAGGGGGTGGTGGGGTGCGGGGGGTTAGGGGGATGTTGGAGTAGGGGTTGCTTGCTCTCTGCGTAAATTTTATGGCACTCGAGAATCGAACTT